GTTGAGCATGCTCAGTCATTTACTTCCTCTTTTTAAATAAAGTGGAGGGAATTCAAAGGCAAGCATGTTTTGCTTAATTACTGACTTGTATTAAGTTAATTAGAGTTGTTAATTGTGTACAGTGGGATAAGTCAAGATGAGTAGTAAGACTGCATAGTGTGGAATGACTAGAAAAAAGAATTTAAGCAGAATTATAGGAATGTGTACTCTGTTTCCATATCATCAGACTTGGTGAGTCAAAACCAATATTCTTTTTGAGATAAATGATTCAATGGAGATAAATTTGGAAAAATTATATGTGTTTCAATTAGTGCTAGTGATGCATGCATACTAGACTTGTATGTCTATATATCCTAGAGTAGCAGGAAAAGATGAATTAAAGCATGTTATTTGAAAATTAATGCATGCAGAGTTGCTGGACATTTTCAAAGTGGCATATTAATATTGTTTCTATAAACATTTTTTATGCGCCCGTCTCGATAGATCGGGGGTACATATTGTTTTTGTCCTGTCTGTTTGTTTGTAAACTTTAACCTTCACCATTACTTTTGAACCAATGAGAGATAAAGGCTTCATATTTGGTATGTCTACTCCACTAATTAAGTTCTTTCAAATGACATTAAGATCAATGACCTTGTGACCTTGACTGTGACCTATATGCTAAAAATAGCTTTTTCGAATATTCATCATAAATTAAAATTAATGAAAGATAGAGACTTAGAGATATTTAGTATGCATAATTCACTAATTAAGCTTTTTTCAAAAGACAACTGAAGGTCAATGACCTTGAGACCTTGGCTGTGACCCATTTCCTTAAAATAGATTTTTTGAACCTTGGACATAAATCTTGAGCCATAAAAGATAGAGAACTTGTATTAAGTATGCACCCTTCATTAATTAAGCTCTTTCAAATAACACCAAGGTCAATGACCTTGGGACCTTGACTGTGACCGTATACTTAAAATAGATTTTTTGAAACTTCGACATAACTTTTGAGACATAAAAGATGGAGAATTCATATTTGGTATGCACCCTTCACTAATTAAACTCTTTCAAGTTACACCAAGGTCAATGACAATTTGACCTTTACTGTGACCCATATGCTAAAATTAGCCATTTTGATCCTCTGCCATAAATTTTTAACTATAACAGATAGAGACTTCATATTTAGTATGCATACTCCACTAATTAGGTTCTTTCAAATGACATCAAGATCAATGACCTTGTGACCTTGACTGTGACCCATATGCTATAAATAGCTTTTGCAAACTTTATTGCCACCAGGCGCATAGTGTTTCACAAACATATCTTGATTTTGATTATGATGATCAACATAATTTTCTATCTGTTCAAAGAATAGCAGAAGTAGCTATTTCTTATTGACCCTGTGGCTTGCTTTTGTTTGTTATATTCCTCAGCACAGTTTGTTATTTGTTAGATTGATAGATCATTATTTCTATAGTCACGTTTCGAGTTCATCCGGAACGTCCGTTTTTATTTGCTTTTTATCGCACCGATCACGTGATTTACAGAAAATGTTCAGCAGGGGTACTTCCGGTAAAAATTGTTTACAATAGTTACTCAATGTTGTCTGAAACAAAATTCTATTTTTGTGTTGCGGAGGGATGTAATTCTGATGAAAGAAAAAGAGGAAGATATGGTTACATGAAAGATGTAAGATTTTACCCCTTTCCAACCCAGAAAAAAGCGCCTGCACTAAGAAAACGCTGGCTGGACCTCTTGAGAAGAGAAAATTACGAGCCAAAGAGAAACCACAGAGTATGCTCTCTTCATTTTAAGGAAGGCAGACCAACAGAAAATCATCCGTACCCAGAGCTCTTTGCATATAATAATTTTAAGGAAAGTCTGAAGGTTTGTTGTGGTTTTAATTGTCAAATATAAAAAAGTTGGCATCATGATTTTATGCATCGAGTATCTTTTGTTAATATCAAGATATGTAGTCTAGAAACATGCATCAAAATATATGGAAAATGTTATTTATTTATGATAAATTGTAGGATTAAGCACAAACTTGAGAACTGTTTGAGCTTTTGACATTTAAATAAGGTATTGTATTACAATTCAGAGACACACATGCTATTCTTGAGTGCTTATAATTTGTTATCTTTAGACTCGTCCAACAACATCAATATCTAAGAGGGAACAGTGTATACCTGCAGTACAAGACACTCAGTCTGAAATCTCAATTCAACCCCCAGCTGACTCCTTGGCTGCCAGTGAAAGTGTACTTGTATGTAAGATTATTTGCTGATATAAACTTGTGCTCCAGTATATATTTCATTGTAGATCAATAAAAATACTAGATTACTGATTATTTAAAATGTATTTTTGAAAGCTTGTTTTATTTAATTTTTAATTTAAGTATTAATATTTTTCAGCAACCACAGATTAACAATGATAATTTTGTTGCTGGAGAACTGAACGGAAGTTGGCCTGTAACCCACGAAATAGAGGTGGGTGATCATGAGTGCCCAACAGTTGAATCTTTTCCTGTCACAGGTGAAAAATTTTGATTTGAAAAAAAAACCAACATTTTTTTTAGATTCTGGCAACATAGATTGAGGCAAGCTTACTGCACCAAAACTTACATTGAAAATATACTGTAGGTACTCATGTAGAGATGGACCACTGTTATATCAGTGGCAGTGTTTGCAGTAATGACGTGTCAACCAGAGATATAGGGATCCAAACATCACTCACTGCTGCAGATATCAAGGTTTTGGAGGAGAAATCAACCAAACTGGAGGATCCTGAGAAACTCATGAGAGAACTTTTTGTCGACAAAGTGGTGAAAGATGACAGAAATGTTAAAATGTATACGGGACTACCATCTAAGAAGATCCTAAACGGTGTATATGGTATGGACTGGTGCACAATAAATTCAGTGATACATGTATTATAAATGTTAATACATGTACAAAATATTCCGTTTTTTTAACAACATGAATAAAGTTAATATATCACAAAAGTTAATCAAAATCTAATTTACTATAGTAAGGCAACATTTTCTTATAAATAATTTTTCTCTCTATTAAGATATCTTGGAAAAGGCTTCACCAACATTGAAGTATTGGTCAGGACAAGGAAGTGCTACAAAGAAAACAATATCAGCAAGACAGTCTAAATGCAAAGTCAGGCCCAAAAAGGAAGCTCAGCAGGTTTCAGGAGTTTGTTTTAACTCTGGTCAGATTGCGACTCGCTTTGACTACAATTGTCATGGCAGATTTATTTGGCGTATCCTCAAGTCTTCACCACCTGGATCAATTTCATGGCTACAATCTTTAAACCTTTATTAAAATGGCCTTCCAGAAATGTAATTAAAAAATTCATGCCTTCATCTTTCAGAGCTAAGTTTCCAAATGTAAATTGTATTATTGACTGCACTGAACTTTTTATAAGAAAACCAAGAAATCCAACTGCTCAGTCTCAGAAATTTAGCTCCTATAAACAACATAATACTTATAAAGCATTGGTTGGTGTGACACCTTCTGGTGCATTTTCATTCATATCAAATTTGTGGGGAGGCAATGTTTCCGATAGGTACATCACGAAGGAAAGTGGATTCCTGGACAGCGTACAACCTGGAGATGAGATAATGGCAGACAGGGGATTTTTGATCAGGGATCTTTTGCTTCAACACAGAGCTAAACTTATAATACCCCCATTCACAAGGAAGTGTTCCTGGGGTAAAGGTAAGTATTTGTCTGCCTCTGAAATACTAAAAACAAAGAACATTGCAAAATTCCGCATCTATGTAGAGAGGGCTATAGGAAGATTAAAAACATTTCATATGATGTCCAATACCATGCCAACAAATTTAAAACCCCTTGCTGATCAAATGCTTGTCATATGTGCATTTCTTCGTAATCTTCAAAAGCCTTTGGTTAAAAAGTAAGGAATTGATGTTCCATGCTGGAATGTTTACTTATAGATGACATCTGTGTTCAGAAATAGTTTTATTGTGTTCACTTCTCATATAAAATATAATATGATGTATTACAACAAGTAATATAAATTTCTTGAATGAAAATCAAATAAAATGTAACAAAAATTGTACATGTCTCATTTTTTAAACTAGAGTTGAAAACTTATGTGTAAGGCAATAAAACCACATTTCTGCTGTGATATAATTATTTTTACAATTGTCTTAGTGCTCTAAAGAGGTATTTCTCAAAAAACATTTCAGATTTTTCAACAATCCTCTGAAAGATGAGTTCATCAAAATATATGCGATCAACAATAAAGCCCTTTTTTGTGTAAAATACAAAATCACACCACTGTTTTTTGCACACACCTAGCTGGCCTTGAATTTGTATGTACCATGGAGAATCAAATTTCAGTTTTATATTTTCATTTTCATCCAAGACAATATGAAAATGATCATCAATACAAGCATCTTTGGGCATTTTTTTTGATACAAGAAGGAACATTTTATCTCAAGTAATCCTTCACCACAACACTTGCATTTAATAACACCATCTGGAGAAGCCCCTAAAAATGGATAATCTGAGTCTACATATAAGCCACATAACTTAATCTCTGCGTGTTTGTGCTGCTTTTTATATTGTTCAAAATATAGCTGTCTAGCGACAGGTTCGTGTAGCTTGCCAAATGCCAAAGAGGGTACAGATACTTTAGAAGTTTTCCCCATAATCAATTTTGAAATATAGTTTTCATCATTTTCAGTAAACCTAAAATGCAAAACTGATGAAAAATGTGAAGCAGTAATTCTACCAATTCTTTGTTCATACCATTTTTGATTTTCATCCTGCCCTTTAGTTTGGTCTTCAATTTCGGTAATTATTTTCTTATCAAAAATATTCTTCAATATTTCAGTTACAGAAAAAATGTCATAAGGGGGTAGCATATTTTTGCAGGCATCTGACATTGATGGAAGTACATTATCATCATCATCATCACTTACAAAAGACTCATCATACAAAGTTTGTAACAGAAGCGCCCCTGTGCCTCTGCATAATTCATAGAAGTCCCTCTCGTGGTCGGCCACTGGACCTTGAATGGGAACGGCTGGGTTGAAAAGATTCAGTAGTTGCGGATGTTGGTTGGGGATGCGTCTGGTCCACCCTCATATCTATATCCGAGATCTTCTGGGGATTGGATTTCTTTCTAGGTTTATCCCAGATACACTGCATGTCGGTGCCTACTTCTGTTCCTCGGTCTCTGTGTCGCTCACAAAAACTTGATAGGGAAAATAGAAAAGCAACACAGTGCTTGCAAGTTCCATTGTCCCTGAAAAAAATATATTTAAGAATTAAATTATTTTTTATTTCTAATTCTAACTAATACATGTACAGTGGAGCCTCATTTATCTGGACGCTTTGGTTCCTAGTCTATTTGTCCGGATATGTTAAGTGTCTGGATACATGAATTATCAATTAAAGAAGACAAGATATCTGAAGGTCCACTGTAATATGAACCTGAATTATTGTATACAGGGTTATTTTCGCCCTTTTTGCCCCGTTTTAAATTTGCCCAGTTTCATTTCTTTCTTTGTTTTTTTAATTCGCCACTTTTTATATTTGCCCTTCTGTGAGTAGGGCAAATGGGGCGAAAATAAAATGCGGGCAAATATTTCACTGTATACAGTATTCAATAATAAGAATGTGACTACACATTTCTGCATATACTGTATCAGTTTTATGAGATTATGCTTTCATGAAAACAGAGAACACCATGACTGAAAAGCAATGTTTTCCCTTAACAATTGAATTAGCAGGGAACATTAAAAAAAATAGAAGGGTGTCCGGGCTTCCTACTCTGGAAGGAAGTGTAAATAGGAATGCCAGAATAATTTGGGTATTATGTCAGTAGAGGCAGGGAAATTCCACAGGGCTTAGAGGCAACTCTGTAACATAAGTTTACCTTAATCTGAAATATACTTACGCCACACAAGTGCATCCACCTGACAAAATTTCACCAGTTGTCTTGTTTGCCAATATCCAGACATCATAAGGCTGGGCATTTTGTCTGGTCTCAGGCATGCAAGTTGCCGTCAAGTAAATATATTCCTGGTGGACATGATAGGCAGCTTTGACATCGTCGATATGGCAAGCCATGTGTAAGCGATAACCATTATCCTGCTTATAAAGTCTTAGTCGTTCGTGAGTCCACCCGCACCATCTCATAAAGTATACCAGCACATCACACGATTCAAAGTCTGGTATACTGGCCAAATCCTTACTCCTGCAAATTTTTTAAAAGTAGTATATACTATATAGATAGTAATTAAATTTCCACTGCTATGAAAATGTTCTTAATAGACATCTATCGTGTGGGCTCAGTTCACTTTGTGAAAACTAAAGTGGGTTTGAGTGTGTGTTAACCCCATACTGTTTGGTTTGATTTATAAATACTGAAAAGCTTAGTCAACATGGTCAATAGAAACAATTTTATAAAAGTGTGAAAATTAAAGTCTTACCAATCGGTCACAGCATTTACAGGGTCTAAAATAATTTTGTTGTCCCCCACTGTCACCGTCCTGCGCCTTTCATCAAACACAGCGTACTCTTCTTCGTCATTTGTAGATGTCAAAACCTAAAGCCATCATTACACAGAATGATTATGTGTTTTACCCGTGTTAGGCGTTTATACTAAACCACAAAATCATCCACAAATAATATAAATTTGAATTATTTAAAAAATGTATGATATGTACTTTTATTTTTGTCGTTCCTACTACGAATGGGGAAAATTTTTATAGGCCTAATCAGGGTTAATGCTTCAGTGAAAGAAAGATTACCTCGAGACGAAGTTCCTCTGCAAGCTCACATAAGCGCACAAGATCTATTTTCCTGCCTATGCTGCAGCTTATACCCCTATCTTGCAGATACTTCTTTAGATCTGGTACTTGAAAGCCGTAAAAATGAATCCGTTCTGCCATAGTTATGAGACGCTGTAAAACCGGAAGTTTACCTGCTGAACATTTTTGACATGGCGTGACTAAACAACGAATAAAAACGTTGTTCCGGATGAACTCGAAACGCGGCTATTAAATACCAATTTATATCTAACTTACATACGAAAAACGATATTGCCGCAATATTGCGGCAATAATGCCGGAAGATGTTGCCAGAAGATCAATATTTTGGTCATGATTTGCAGCAATATTGCCGCAACCCCTTTCTGGCAATATTGCCGCAAAACTAATTAACATACGAAAAACGATATAGCCGCAATATTGCGGCAATAATGCCGGAAGATGTTGCCAGAAGATCAATATTTTGGTCATGATTTGCAGCAATATTGCCGCAACCCCTTTCTGGCAATATTGCCGCAAAACTAATTTACATACGAAAAACGATATAGCCGCAATATTGCGGCAATGTATTGCCAGAATGTTGCTGCAATATTGCGGCAATAAAGCCAGAAGATGTTGCCAGAAGGTCAATATTTTGGTAAGGGTAGCTGCCGGATCAATAAGTAAACCCTTACTATTCAAGTTGTCTTCATGGGAATGCCCCGGAACTGTGATAGGAACAGACATTGCATCAATCACCCGGTACCATTTAAGTTTGACTTTCTTCTACCTTTCTTTGTTTTTAAACCAAGGCAAGCTACTGACATATAAATTCATGCTGCAGGAATTTCAACAAGCATGTTGCAATTAAACATTTTTAAGTATTCTCGATCCTTGGCACCTGATCCCACCATGCATTTCTAGGGGATTCTTGTTTATTTCCTATTTACATATTTGTTTTGTTTGAATTTAAAAAAAAATCGATTGCCCATTTCATTCTCCTGGAAAAATATATAATATTCAAGCAGAAACTTTATAATGAACTCGCAAACTTGATATACTGTTAATTTCCAAACACCAAAAAGATTTCTTGTCGTACTTTACTCTGCTAAAGAGGCCATACAGTAGATGGCAACAACCATCTTTTACTGAACTCTCAACGGCTCTCCTATAGTCTTTAGGACCTAGACCAACGCATTTTCCAATTTCAAAGAATGATTTCAATTAATTTTCATTTTTTCGTAAGTAAATTTTTCCTAAATGTTTGCTTTTTTCCATAACAAAAGATAAATGATTGGGATTCCCCCCTTCTTTCTTTGAGGAACATTCAGAAGTTAGTCTTATACTCAAATAGTAAGAAAATAACCTTTTGCTATAAGGTTCAACAATTCTGAATCTGTGGATCACCTTATTTTATTTGAAATTATAAGGATTAACTTACAGTACATAAATCTCGTCTGAACGCATAGCAAATTAACTTTTTTTACGGAGAGATCACGTGACAATTGACCATGGCGGTCATGCTTTGCTAGTGGGAAGAAAAAATAGATCAAAATCGGAGTTAAAAGTGTCAAAGTGCCGAAAAAAGGGTCAACAGTTTATCATTAACATTGAGTGGAGGTCTTGAAGCTTTTTTGTGTAAGTATCTGCTTATTTGGAACTTGTGGTAAACTACTGTGCACCGCTGTGTATACAATGTCCAATCGTGAGTTGAAATCACAGAAAAGAAAGCCGGACTCTAAGTCTAAGGGAACTGAGAAAATGCCGTTCCCCTCCACTAACTTTGGAACTTTAACCCCATTTAGTGTACCGTTTGCTCCTTGCCCTGAGCAAATAGCGGTCGACCCTTTTAAAACTTTAGCAAGTCTATCACAAGCCGTGGGGGATATTAAGGCTGATCTATGGGAACAGGACGGGTTTGAAGACAAGATACAATTCATTGCACAACAGCAGGAAGACAATATAACAGAGATAGACAGTCTAAAATCTGAAAATGCATCCCTACGTAAGGATCTTGAAATGTTAAAATCGGTTGTAATCAGACTTGATAGAAAAGTCACAGAACAAGAGAAGGAAATTATTGATTTGAAAGGGCGATCCATGAAAAACAATATCCTTATACATAACCTGGAAGAAGAAGAAGGAGAAGATCTATTCAGCAAAATCCCCCGCCTGCTAAATGAACACCTAGATATAGACGGAATAGAGTTCGTTAATATCCATAGGAATGCGGGGGACAGAAGGCAAGGAGATAAGCCCCGAGTTATAACAGGCCGGTTAGTGAGATTTGAGAACAAAGACCGTTTACTAAAACAACAGAGAAAAAAGAAAGATGAAGGGATTACTCTACCATTCTATATCACCCCCCAGTCACCAGTTCAAGTTAACGAAACTCGCAGAAAACTGGTTGAACTCAACAGCAAATATTGGAGTGAAAATATCAAAACGAGGGTTGTGGGGGACAAATTGGTTTTCCCGAATGGGTCTGTTTACAGAGATAAAGTGAAGACACCAAACGCCGAGGAAATTCTACAACTTGACCAGAAAGAACAACAAAAACTAGAGGAAATTGAAGTTAAACGCTCTAACACTCACACAGAATCAGGAAACCAAATTAGCGCTGCTGCAGTTGAGGTAGAGACATATGCAAAAGTTCGGAACTTCTACAGGAAAATTTCCATGGATCCAGTTTATGGGCGTGCAAATCACAATATACTGGTATACCGTTTTAAAGACAATTCTGGGACTATACATGACGGATACTGTGACGACGGCGAATTTGGAGCTGGAAGGAAAATGCTAAAAATTCTACAAGATGAAAACTCTACAAATGTATCAGTTGTGATATCGCGCATGATGGGAAAACATCTTGGTCCGAAACGCTTCGACATAATGGAGAAAGCGTTATTTGACGCCCTCAAAGAACTTCGATAGGCTAAAAGAGTGTCCTGCAACGCGATTTTTCTTTTCTTGAACATTTTGTGGTATAAATAGTTTTTTGCTTTTTTCTTTTTCCCGGATTGAATAGCTCTGTTCTGAAAAGGTTTCTTTTTTATAGTATATATTCCGGAAAAAAGAAGTTTATGTTCGTTTTTGATTTTTTATTTACCGACCAAAGAAGTATGTCCGGTATTATATCGGCACAGAATTTGAGGTAAACAAAATAAAAATGAACACTCCGACTATTGATCTATTAAACTCTTTCAACTATGCATTTGTAATTTATGCAAAGAGTTTGTTTCGTACATGTACATACCCTTTTCTTTTGTTTATATATTCTTTTTTCAGTTTTGTTTACATTTTTGAGTGAGTGCGAAAGTGTGTCTGTGAGAAAATACAACTGTCATGTAGTCGAAAATTTTGCTTGGAGGTTGCTTACATTTTACAAATCAGTTTTTGTTGATGAACGATAATATAAAAATCGTAACGGTGAACTGTCAGGGTCTAGCGACAATTCAAAAACGACAAGATGTCCTTAACTATTATAGAAAAAAGGGTTACTCTATTTTGTGTCTGCAGGATACACATTTTACATATGAAACAGAACCATTTGTAGAAGCTCAGTGGGGTTACAAGTGCTATTTTAGTTCATATAAATCGAATTCACGGGGAGTAAGTATTCTTTTTAACAATAATTTTGAATTTAAAGTCCACAAAGATAAGAGAGATAAGGAAGGGAATTTAGTAGCTCTTGATATTACCATTGAAGACAATAGGTTTACCCTGGTAAATGTATATGGACCGAATACTGACTGTCCAGAATTTTATGAAAAGGTTAGAGATATTTTTCTAGAATTTGATAATGAATATTTTGTACTATGCGGTGACTTAAATCTTGCTCTTAATCCAGAAATAGATACATACAACTATGTTAATGTAAATAATCCAATGGCTCGTGAAAAATTGATAGAAATTATGGAAGATTTACAAATGATTGATTATTACAGGATTTTGAATCCAGAAAAAAAAATGTTCACATGGAGGAAAAAAAACCCTGTCAAACAAGGCAGATTAGACTATATTTTAATATCTGAAGGATTATCTAATCTTGTTGAAGAATTTACTGTTAAACCGGGGTACAGATCTGATCATTCTATTGTTGTTCTAGAATTAAAATTCAATCCCTTCAATAAAGGTCGTGGCCTATGGAAGTTTAATAATAGTTTACTGAATGACGCAGTGTATGTCGAAAAAGTGAAGCAAACTATACAAAAAGTCAGATGTCAATATTTACAAAATATAAATGATATTGAAAATAATGCTATTTTTGTTGAAAATATGGATGACTCTATATTTCTTGAAATTCTTCTTATGGAAATACGAGGAATATCTATTTCATATTCTTCATTTAAGAAAAGAGAGAGAGAAAAGTCAGAGAAATCCCTCGTAGAGGAAATAGAGAGATTAGAAACAAGTACTGAAAATAATACAGATATTTTGGAAGAAAAAAAAGAAACCCTTGAAAATTTAAGAAAAGTTAAAATGCAAGGCCATTTAATTAGATCCCGTGCTAGATGGGTAGAAGAGGGTGAAAAGCCAACAAAATATTTTTGTAATTTAGAATCAAGAAACTATGTTAACAAAATTATTAAAAGGGTTGAGATTGACGAACAATACACTGTTTATGATCAATTTGAAATTTTAAACCAAGTTAAATCTTTTTATGAAGAACTGTATTCAAATAAAGATTCAGAATGTATTGACATGGATCTGAATGATATTATTGACCCAGCGGAAGTTAAAAAACTTGACGAGATGACTTCTAATAGTCTTGAGAAAGATATTGAAGAAAGTGAAATTTTAGATGTTCTTAAGAATATGAAAAATAACAAGTCTCCAGGGAGTGATGGTTTTACAGCTGAATTTTTCAAATTTTTCTGGACAGATTTGAAAAGTTATATTTTAAATGCAATTAACTGTATTTTTTCAAAGAAAGAACTTCCAATTTCTCAGAGACTTGGGATTATTTCCTGTATACCCAAAGGTGATAAACCAAGACAGTTCTTAAAAAATTGGCGCCCAATTACTTTACTAAATGTCCTTTATAAACTTATATCTGGATGTTTAAGTTGTAGAATAAAGTCCACTCTAGAATATCTTATTTCTGATACACAAACAGGTTTCATTAAAGGTAGATTTATAGGGGAAAATACAAGATTTATTTATGACTTAATGTCTTATACAGAGTCAAATAATATTCCTGGTCTGTTGATGCTATTAGACTTTGAGAAAGCATTTGACTCAATTTCATGGACCTTTCTTTATAAAGTTTTGAAGTATTTTGGTTTTGGAAACAACATTATTGAATGGATTAAAATCCTAAATACTAATTTTAAAGCTTCAGTTTTACAATGTGGTTTTTTATCAGAACAATTTTTTATTCAGAGGGGTTGTAGACAAGGAGATCCTGTTGCTCCCTACTTGTTCCTCCTTTGTGCTGAAATCCTGGCTGTTCTCATTAAACAAAACAGAGATATAAAAGGTATAATAGTAAAAGAAAAAGAACACAAAATCTCTCAATATGCAGATGATACCTCGCTTGCCCTTGACGGTTCACCAAAATCTTTGTTTGCTGCTCTTGATACATTGGATTTATTTTCACAATTATCTGGTTTAAAGATAAATAGTTCGAAGACAAAAATTATTTGGATTGGCTCGAAAAAATTTTCAAGTCAAGTTTTTCATCACACAAGATGGAAACTAGATTGGGGATCCACAACTTTTACTTTGCTTGGTATAACTTTTTCTGTAGAGCTAGAAAATATTACTGACATAAATTACAAACTTGTTTTACCAAAAATTAAATCAATGATCCAACAATGGAAAAGGCGAATACTTACACCAATCGGTCGTGTCACCATTGTTAAAACACTGATTCTACCAAAACTCACTCATTTATTTATTTCTCTTCCTACCCCTAGCTATGACATAATATCTTCATTATGTAAGGACCTTTTTGAATTTATATGGAAATCAAAAAGTGATAGAGTTAAAAGAGATATAGTTACTCAAGATTATTTATCTGGAGGATTAAAAATGTTAAATGTTGATTACTTCATAAAATCACTGAAATGTACATGGGTCAAAAGATTGGTATCAGAAAGTAGTAAGCCATGGCTGGACATATTTTTAGGAATTAATGGTAGAGATGTTGTAAACAAATTTATGGATTTTGGTGATGTTTATGTTTTAAATAGTTTAATACCTCAAAATAATATTTTCTGGTTTGATGTTTTTATTTCATGGCAGCATGTTTTGAAGAATGTAGATCAGGATGTAGAAATGAAATGCAAGGCTTGCAATATTCCTGTATGGTATAATTCAAATATTAAGGTAGAAAATAAAAGTATTTTTATAGAAAATTGGTATAAAAGTGGAGTTAAAAATATTGGGGATTTTTTGTCAGAAGATTGCAATTTTTTATCAAAATCCGCCTTCCAAGAAAAATTCAGCATTTCCAATGTATGCGTAATGCAGTATAATAGTACTATTTCTGCTATTTCTAAATTTTTAAAGAATATGTCAATAGATCGAATGAACTTGAGAAAACATTGTCAGCCTAATTTACCATTTTATTTTGAAAATATTTTTCATTATGAAAAATGTACAAAGAGAATTTACAACTATATAAACAAAAATGATATAATTCCTACAGCAATTCCAAAGTGGAATCAAGACTTATCTCCCTTTGGAGTGACAGATATATGTATAAAAGATGTTTTTAAAGTTTGCTTTAAGACTACTTCTGATTCTTCTGTACAGTGGTTACAATATAGAATTTTACATAGGATCCTCCCTGTAGATTCTTATCTTAAGAAAATCAATATAAAAACTACTGATGTTTGTAAATTTTGTGCCCAAGAAACTGAAACTGTACTGCATGTATTTGTTCATTGTGACCATATTATATCTTTATGGAGGAACTTGAGTTTACATATATACAGAACAATTTCAAAAAGAATTGCATTTAATGTTAAAAATATTATCTTAGGTGAATTACCACTTATAAAGGATAATAGAATTGAAAATTTTATGATATTGTACACAAAACAATATATTTTTTCATGTTTATTGCAATCAAAAATACCTTCACTCTTTGGTTTACTAAGCTATTTGAAAATGAAATACAATATTGAAAGATGCATATCTATTAACAATTCAAATCTAAATTATTTTGAAGAACAATGGATTTTATGGAAAAATATATTTGAACAAATGTAAGATTACACCTGTATATGTTAGATGTTTGCTTAAATTATTTTGCATGATAGAGACAACTGATTATTATAAAGCAACCTTCATATTAATTTAAAATGTAAATGAATGTATGAATGGGTGTGTGAGTGTTAAATATCCATTGTAATTTGCTGTTATTTTAATTTGAATCTATATGTAATACAATGGGTAATAAAAAAAAAAAAAAAAAAAAAAAAAAAAAATTAACTTTTACTAACGTGTGTATATTTACTCATATGTAAATTTGCAGACATAAGCAAAGTTTCGTCGTATGAATGCGGTATTAGATAACACATACAAAATTCATCTCAACTCTCCTACTGTAAATTGTCAACAATAATCAGAACCCATAACTGTATAAAACTAATCTGTCAAATCACTGGAGCCATTACAATATATCGACCATTATTCATTCAAGGCGGCTAGGCCACATATATATTGTACTTACCACTTGTTTAAATGTCTACATCATTATTTCAATAGATCTCAAGCTTTGTGGCTAGCAGGCTCCCCCAATAGCCTTTTGTCCAACAATACACATGGCAGCAATGCAGAATTAAAAAAAAATTGGCGGGCAGTTGTAAGCTAGGTTCCTGTTGATTATATTTGTTGGAACATTGAGCCCAACATTAAAATTTCTCAAGAACCCAATCAAATTATACAAGGAAACCACTTTGAACTACTAACAAACCTGTTTA